GGGTTACGGTATACAGTAGGTGGAATGTGATAGTCTGCCTATAACCAGCCTGAGTACGCCTATAACTCCATTCCAATTCTATTCAGAGTTTAGAGAAATGAATCAAATTTGAAATGAGCTATCATCAGGCTGGTTAATGCAATGCATGTCTGTTGAATTTGTAAAAATGAACCCGCACTCGGGCCCCGCCCCACCTACTCAGCCAATCAGGAGTGGCATACTGAATACTTTTTACTAAACGGTACATACTAAATAGTACACGATGATAAGTACATATTATGCAGTTTAAGTATGTAGTACGCTAGAATGGCTATTTGGACACGACCACTGTGTCTGTATGGGAAAATAATATATGATATATATTTTAACAAAATGTATGTGCATGCACACTATGTACATGTATGAAAATTACAGATATCTTAATAAATGGACATATTACAAAAATGGTCTGTTTTCATGTATTTCTACATTTGTGTTAATACCAAGTGTTTCAGAGATATATTAACATAATACTTGATAAGAACATAATTATATTACCAGATGTTAAATGAAAGATGTGTGATGTAGACTGCAAAATACAAAAACACTTAGTTCTACACGTTGTATACTTCGTTCTCATTTCTGAAACAAGAGACCATTCTGTTCTGATGGGATTTTTTACTACAATTGTTTAACAACAATGACATCAGCTTTGTTTATATTTCTACTGTTAGGAAATATACGGTATATATTGCCAAGAGCAGATACTATGATCCAGGTGGAACAATCTTGCCTTCACATTGCATTCTTCATTCTATTCTGCATTAGCAAACAGAAATAGATTGTTTGATTTTCAACTTGTCATCAATGCTTAGTTCTCACAATGTCATCCATTTATTTGCCATAGTACTATATGTCATAAAATCATTATAAAGGAGTAAGATTCAGATATAGAATTAACTTTTTTTCTAAGTGAAGAGCAGAAAGCCAGTAAAGGTGCTGTGGTGATTATTGTCATCAAAGATGTGAAATCCTTCCATCAGCCGAGTGTAGACCTCATCTCCTGCATCCAACTGCAGCGTGACGCCATTGGATCCACCGTCCTCTGAGTCTGAAACATCATCGGTCACAGTCACCATTAGCTGTGTATTTTTAAACAGCGACACTCTTCTCTTCTCGCTAGAGCCTGAAAAAGCAGTGTATGTGAAGTAGTAGACTCCTTTAACCGGTGCTCTAAAGACACCCGTCACCGGACTGTAAGCGTCACCAACATTGTTGAAGACATGTTTGTAGGCCAGGATGACATCCTCACTATTTGGTCCTTTGGATTCAGCCAGCGAGGCTGAGAAGGCCACCTTCGGTCTCTCTCTGTTGTCTCCCTTCAGTTCCTCCACGGTGGCTCCCATCTCATTCAGTTTGGCGCTCTGTTGTGTCACAATGGCTCTCAGCTCCTGGAGTAGGACTCTCTGTTCCTCCACCTGGTTCTCGCTGGCTGTCGGTCTGTCTTCCAGAGAGAAAGGCTTGTTGTCATTGTTTCTAGTTTGAAGAACCAGCATCTCAGAGACGCAGCTGCGGAGAACAAACAGCAGAGCAACGATGGTCCTCATCTTCCAGATCAACTCCGGGATCCTTTGGTATCAAACACCTAAACTCATGATTTATAGACAAATGAATAGTTAAGCATTTACTCAGTAATGTATTGTTAATACTTAACTGTCCTTGGACAGGTGCCGATGTTGCATGTTCTGATGTTCAAGTTCAAATTCCAAAGTTTCTATTTATCCAATGGCAGACAGTTAACCCTCTCTGAAATACTTGGTGTGTTAACAGAATACTTTATATTAATAGAATGATATGAACAGATGTAGAGGGCAGAAAGACAGTTAAAAGACATGCTCCGGTACTTTGGCGACTAAGAAAATATATTTTTAACCTCCCGCTTTGAGCCATGTGTCAATGTGTAGTTCATACATGCATAATCTATGAGCAGAATTACTGTTTTACCTCAATTAACCATCAGATCCCTAGTTTAAAAGCAACTGTTTTTTAAGACATTTTCTCTACATTTCCCCCGACGTGGGCCATCCCCCCTAGCAATTCGAGTTCTAGCCAATGAGCGTCAGCCTCTTGCATTTGAGTGACAGCTAGCAAGAGGCCTGCCCAGCGTTATCCAATGAGGTTGCAGGGCGGGCCCAATGGCTCAGTGGACACAGCAGTGCGAGAGAGCAATGACGTGATGCACATATGTGATGTAGTACACCATTTCCGGGGACCACTATTGGCTTGTGAGTGAAACTTTCAGAACTACTGGCTAAAAAGTATACAAACGTACCTGGAGAATCTCTTTAAGGTGCTGTGGTGATTAATGTCATCATAGACATGATGTTCTGATTTCAGACTAGCGTATTGTAATGATACAGTCCATTTTTATCTGATCTAAGACTGTGGATGTGGGACCACATCATTACAGACGTCCAGGGTCAAGTACACTACATGACCAAAAGTATGTGGACACCTGTTTGTCGAACATCTCATTCCAAAATAATGGGCATTAATATGGAGTTGGTCCCCCCATTGCTGCTATAACAGCCTCCACTCTTCTAGGAAGGCTTTCTACTAGATGTTGGAACATTGCTGAAACAGGAAAGGGCCTTCCCCAAACTGTTGCCACAAAGTTGGAAGCACAGAATAGTCTAGAATGTTATTGTATGCTGTAGCATTAAGATTTCCCTTCACTGGAACTAAGGGGTCTAGCCCGAACCATGAAAAACAGCCCCAGACCATTATTCCTCCTCCTCCAAACTTTACAGTTGGCACTATGCATTGGGGCAGGTAGCGTTCTCCTGGCATCCACCAAATCCAGATTCGTCTGTCGGCATGCCAGATGGTGAAGCGTGATTCATCACTCCAGAAAACACGTTTCCACTGCTCCAGGGTCCAATGGCGGCGAGCTTTACACCACTCCAGCCGACGCTTGGCATCCAAAGTTGCATCCAAAGAACACCATACCTACTGTGAAGCATGGGGGTGGAAACATCATGCTTTGGGGCTGTTTTTCTGCAAAGGGACCAGGACGACTGATCCGTGTAAAGGAAAGAATGAATGGGGCCATGTATCGTGAGATTTTGAGTGAAAACCTCCTTCCATCAGCAAGGGCATTGAAGATGAAACGTGGCTGGGTCTTTCAGCATGACAATGATCCCAAACACACCGCCCGGGCAACGAAGGAGTGGCTTCGTAAGAAGCATTTCAAGGTCCTGGAGTGGCCTAGCCAGTCTCCAGATCTCAACCCTATAGAAAATCTTTGGAGGGAGTTGAAAGTCCGTGTTGCCCAGCAACAGCCCCAAAAACATCACTGCTCTAGAGGAGATCTGCATGGAGGAATGGGCCAAAATACCAGCAACAGTGTGTGAAAACCTTGTGAAGACTTACAGAAAACGTTTGACCTGTGTCATTGCCAACAAAGGGTATATAACAAAGTATTGAGAAACTTTTGTTATTGACCAAATACTTATTTTCCACCATAATTTGCAAATAAATTCATTAAAAATCCTACAATGTGATTTTCTGGATTTTTTTTCCTCATTTTGTCTGTCATAGTTGACGTGTACCTATGATGAAAATTACAGGCCTCTCTCATCTTTTTAAGTGGGAGAACTTGCACAATTGGTGGCTGACTAAATACTTTTTTCCCCCACTGTATATGGCATATTTATGTGTGGTGGTCAATGACTTCTGCATTGTAAATCAAGAGTTAAACTCACTCTGTCAAGATAAACATGACTGTTACAGTCACGCCCCCCATCACGAGAGGGTAATAACCTCAATGGCCTCTTCCTGGTTAAATAAAGTATTCTTGCAGTCTAGGAGACGTACAGTTGGTGGTAGAAAATGTAGAAATTAGTAAAAAGAAAAGAAAAACCCTGGAATGAGTAGCTGTGTCCAAACTTTTGACTGGTACTGTATATATATATATATTTTACAGCACTTCGGTTTCACTAAGAAAAATGTTGAAATGGAACCAAATTACGTTTTGGTCTTCAGTCCTTTTTAAATAGGATAGATGGGCTATATGGGTTACGGTATACAGTAGGTGGAATGTGATAGTCTGCCTATAACCAGCCTGAGTACGCCTATAACTCCATTCCAATTCTATTCAGAGTTTAGAGAAATGAATCAAATTTGAAATGAGCTATCATCAGGCTGGTTAATGCAATGCATGTCTGTTGAATTTGTAAAAATGAACCCGCACTCGGGCCCCGCCCCACCTACTCAGCCAATCAGGAGTGGCATACTGAATACTTTTTACTAAACGGTACATACTAAATAGTACACGATGATAAGTACATATTATGCAGTTTAAGTATGTAGTACGCTAGAATGGCTATTTGGACACGACCACTGTGTCTGTATGGGAAAATAATATATGATATATATTTTAACAAAATGTATGTGCATGCACACTATGTACATGTATGAAAATTACAGATATCTTAATAAATGGACATATTACAAAAATGGTCTGTTTTCATGTATTTCTACATTTGTGTTAATACCAAGTGTTTCAGAGATATATTAACATAATACTTGATAAGAACATAATTATATTACCAGATGTTAAATGAAAGATGTGTGATGTAGACTGCAAAATACAAAAACACTTAGTTCTACACGTTGTATACTTCGTTCTCATTTCTGAAACAAGAGACCATTCTGTTCTGATGGGATTTTTTACTACAATTGTTTAACAACAATGACATCAGCTTTGTTTATATTTCTACTGTTAGGAAATATACGGTATATATTGCCAAGAGCAGATACTATGATCCAGGTGGAACAATCTTGCCTTCACATTGCATTCTTCATTCTATTCTGCATTAGCAAACAGAAATAGATTGTTTGATTTTCAACTTGTCATCAATGCTTAGTTCTCACAATGTCATCCATTTATTTGCCATAGTACTATATGTCATAAAATCATTATAAAGGAGTAAGATTCAGATATAGAATTAACTTTTTTTCTAAGTGAAGAGCAGAAAGCCAGTAAAGGTGCTGTGGTGATTATTGTCATCAAAGATGTGAAATCCTTCCATCAGCCGAGTGTAGACCTCATCTCCTGCATCCAACTGCAGCGTGACGCCATTGGATCCACCGTCCTCTGAGTCTGAAACATCATCGGTCACAGTCACCATTAGCTGTGTATTTTTAAACAGCGACACTCTTCTCTTCTCGCTAGAGCCTGAAAAAGCAGTGTATGTGAAGTAGTAGACTCCTTTAACCGGTGCTCTAAAGACACCCGTCACCGGACTGTAAGCGTCACCAACATTGTTGAAGACATGTTTGTAGGCCAGGATGACATCCTCACTATTTGGTCCTTTGGATTCAGCCAGCGAGGCTGAGAAGGCCACCTTCGGTCTCTCTCTGTTGTCTCCCTTCAGTTCCTCCACGGTGGCTCCCATCTCATTCAGTTTGGCGCTCTGTTGTGTCACAATGGCTCTCAGCTCCTGGAGTAGGACTCTCTGTTCCTCCACCTGGTTCTCGCTGGCTGTCGGTCTGTCTTCCAGAGAGAAAGGCTTGTTGTCATTGTTTCTAGTTTGAAGAACCAGCATCTCAGAGACGCAGCTGCGGAGAACAAACAGCAGAGCAACGATGGTCCTCATCTTCCAGATCAACTCCGGGATCCTTTGGTATCAAACACCTAAACTCATGATTTATAGACAAATGAATAGTTAAGCATTTACTCAGTAATGTATTGTTAATACTTAACTGTCCTTGGACAGGTGCCGATGTTGCATGTTCTGATGTTCAAGTTCAAATTCCAAAGTTTCTATTTATCCAATGGCAGACAGTTAACCCTCTCTGAAATACTTGGTGTGTTAACAGAATACTTTATATTAATAGAATGATATGAACAGATGTAGAGGGCAGAAAGACAGTTAAAAGACATGCTCCGGTACTTTGGCGACTAAGAAAATATATTTTTAACCTCCCGCTTTGAGCCATGTGTCAATGTGTAGTTCATACATGCATAATCTATGAGCAGAATTACTGTTTTACCTCAATTAACCATCAGATCCCTAGTTTAAAAGCAACTGTTTTTTAAGACATTTTCTCTACATTTCCCCCGACGTGGGCCATCCCCCCTAGCAATTCGAGTTCTAGCCAATGAGCGTCAGCCTCTTGCATTTGAGTGACAGCTAGCAAGAGGCCTGCCCAGCGTTATCCAATGAGGTTGCAGGGCGGGCCCAATGGCTCAGTGGACACAGCAGTGCGAGAGAGCAATGACGTGATGCACATATGTGATGTAGTACACCATTTCCGGGGACCACTATTGGCTTGTGAGTGAAACTTTCAGAACTACTGGCTAAAAAGTATACAAACGTACCTGGAGAATCTCTTTAAGGTGCTGTGGTGATTAATGTCATCATAGACATGATGTTCTGATTTCAGACTAGCGTATTGTAATGATACAGTCCATTTTTATCTGATCTAAGACTGTGGATGTGGGACCACATCATTACAGACGTCCAGGGTCAAGTACACTACATGACCAAAAGTATGTGGACACCTGTTTGTCGAACATCTCATTCCAAAATAATGGGCATTAATATGGAGTTGGTCCCCCCATTGCTGCTATAACAGCCTCCACTCTTCTAGGAAGGCTTTCTACTAGATGTTGGAACATTGCTGAAACAGGAAAGGGCCTTCCCCAAACTGTTGCCACAAAGTTGGAAGCACAGAATAGTCTAGAATGTTATTGTATGCTGTAGCATTAAGATTTCCCTTCACTGGAACTAAGGGGTCTAGCCCGAACCATGAAAAACAGCCCCAGACCATTATTCCTCCTCCTCCAAACTTTACAGTTGGCACTATGCATTGGGGCAGGTAGCGTTCTCCTGGCATCCACCAAATCCAGATTCGTCTGTCGGCATGCCAGATGGTGAAGCGTGATTCATCACTCCAGAAAACACGTTTCCACTGCTCCAGGGTCCAATGGCGGCGAGCTTTACACCACTCCAGCCGACGCTTGGCATCCAAAGTTGCATCCAAAGAACACCATACCTACTGTGAAGCATGGGGGTGGAAACATCATGCTTTGGGGCTGTTTTTCTGCAAAGGGACCAGGACGACTGATCCGTGTAAAGGAAAGAATGAATGGGGCCATGTATCGTGAGATTTTGAGTGAAAACCTCCTTCCATCAGCAAGGGCATTGAAGATGAAACGTGGCTGGGTCTTTCAGCATGACAATGATCCCAAACACACCGCCCGGGCAACGAAGGAGTGGCTTCGTAAGAAGCATTTCAAGGTCCTGGAGTGGCCTAGCCAGTCTCCAGATCTCAACCCTATAGAAAATCTTTGGAGGGAGTTGAAAGTCCGTGTTGCCCAGCAACAGCCCCAAAAACATCACTGCTCTAGAGGAGATCTGCATGGAGGAATGGGCCAAAATACCAGCAACAGTGTGTGAAAACCTTGTGAAGACTTACAGAAAACGTTTGACCTGTGTCATTGCCAACAAAGGGTATATAACAAAGTATTGAGAAACTTTTGTTATTGACCAAATACTTATTTTCCACCATAATTTGCAAATAAATTCATTAAAAATCCTACAATGTGATTTTCTGGATTTTTTTTCCTCATTTTGTCTGTCATAGTTGACGTGTACCTATGATGAAAATTACAGGCCTCTCTCATCTTTTTAAGTGGGAGAACTTGCACAATTGGTGGCTGACTAAATACTTTTTTCCCCCACTGTATATGGCATATTTATGTGTGGTGGTCAATGACTTCTGCATTGTAAATCAAGAGTTAAACTCACTCTGTCAAGATAAACATGACTGTTACAGTCACGCCCCCCATCACGAGAGGGTAATAACCTCAATGGCCTCTTCCTGGTTAAATAAAGTATTCTTGCAGTCTAGGAGACGTACAGTTGGTGGTAGAAAATGTAGAAATTAGTAAAAAGAAAAGAAAAACCCTGGAATGAGTAGCTGTGTCCAAACTTTTGACTGGTACTGTATATATATATATATTTTACAGCACTTCGGTTTCACTAAGAAAAATGTTGAAATGGAACCAAATTACGTTTTGGTCTTCAGTCCTTTTTAAATAGGATAGATGGGCTATATGGGTTACGGTATACAGTAGGTGGAATGTGATAGTCTGCCTATAACCAGCCTGAGTACGCCTATAACTCCATTCCAATTCTATTCAGAGTTTAGAGAAATGAATCAAATTTGAAATGAGCTATCATCAGGCTGGTTAATGCAATGCATGTCTGTTGAATTTGTAAAAATGAACCCGCACTCGGGCCCCGCCCCACCTACTCAGCCAATCAGGAGTGGCATACTGAATACTTTTTACTAAACGGTACATACTAAATAGTACACGATGATAAGTACATATTATGCAGTTTAAGTATGTAGTACGCTAGAATGGCTATTTGGACACGACCACTGTGTCTGTATGGGAAAATAATATATGATATATATTTTAACAAAATGTATGTGCATGCACACTATGTACATGTATGAAAATTACAGATATCTTAATAAATGGACATATTACAAAAATGGTCTGTTTTCATGTATTTCTACATTTGTGTTAATACCAAGTGTTTCAGAGATATATTAACATAATACTTGATAAGAACATAATTATATTACCAGATGTTAAATGAAAGATGTGTGATGTAGACTGCAAAATACAAAAACACTTAGTTCTACACGTTGTATACTTCGTTCTCATTTCTGAAACAAGAGACCATTCTGTTCTGATGGGATTTTTTACTACAATTGTTTAACAACAATGACATCAGCTTTGTTTATATTTCTACTGTTAGGAAATATACGGTATATATTGCCAAGAGCAGATACTATGATCCAGGTGGAACAATCTTGCCTTCACATTGCATTCTTCATTCTATTCTGCATTAGCAAACAGAAATAGATTGTTTGATTTTCAACTTGTCATCAATGCTTAGTTCTCACAATGTCATCCATTTATTTGCCATAGTACTATATGTCATAAAATCATTATAAAGGAGTAAGATTCAGATATAGAATTAACTTTTTTTCTAAGTGAAGAGCAGAAAGCCAGTAAAGGTGCTGTGGTGATTATTGTCATCAAAGATGTGAAATCCTTCCATCAGCCGAGTGTAGACCTCATCTCCTGCATCCAACTGCAGCGTGACGCCATTGGATCCACCGTCCTCTGAGTCTGAAACATCATCGGTCACAGTCACCATTAGCTGTGTATTTTTAAACAGCGACACTCTTCTCTTCTCGCTAGAGCCTGAAAAAGCAGTGTATGTGAAGTAGTAGACTCCTTTAACCGGTGCTCTAAAGACACCCGTCACCGGACTGTAAGCGTCACCAACATTGTTGAAGACATGTTTGTAGGCCAGGATGACATCCTCACTATTTGGTCCTTTGGATTCAGCCAGCGAGGCTGAGAAGGCCACCTTCGGTCTCTCTCTGTTGTCTCCCTTCAGTTCCTCCACGGTGGCTCCCATCTCATTCAGTTTGGCGCTCTGTTGTGTCACAATGGCTCTCAGCTCCTGGAGTAGGACTCTCTGTTCCTCCACCTGGTTCTCGCTGGCTGTCGGTCTGTCTTCCAGAGAGAAAGGCTTGTTGTCATTGTTTCTAGTTTGAAGAACCAGCATCTCAGAGACGCAGCTGCGGAGAACAAACAGCAGAGCAACGATGGTCCTCATCTTCCAGATCAACTCCGGGATCCTTTGGTATCAAACACCTAAACTCATGATTTATAGACAAATGAATAGTTAAGCATTTACTCAGTAATGTATTGTTAATACTTAACTGTCCTTGGACAGGTGCCGATGTTGCATGTTCTGATGTTCAAGTTCAAATTCCAAAGTTTCTATTTATCCAATGGCAGACAGTTAACCCTCTCTGAAATACTTGGTGTGTTAACAGAATACTTTATATTAATAGAATGATATGAACAGATGTAGAGGGCAGAAAGACAGTTAAAAGACATGCTCCGGTACTTTGGCGACTAAGAAAATATATTTTTAACCTCCCGCTTTGAGCCATGTGTCAATGTGTAGTTCATACATGCATAATCTATGAGCAGAATTACTGTTTTACCTCAATTAACCATCAGATCCCTAGTTTAAAAGCAACTGTTTTTTAAGACATTTTCTCTACATTTCCCCCGACGTGGGCCATCCCCCCTAGCAATTCGAGTTCTAGCCAATGAGCGTCAGCCTCTTGCATTTGAGTGACAGCTAGCAAGAGGCCTGCCCAGCGTTATCCAATGAGGTTGCAGGGCGGGCCCAATGGCTCAGTGGACACAGCAGTGCGAGAGAGCAATGACGTGATGCACATATGTGATGTAGTACACCATTTCCGGGGACCACTATTGGCTTGTGAGTGAAACTTTCAGAACTACTGGCTAAAAAGTATACAAACGTACCTGGAGAATCTCTTTAAGGTGCTGTGGTGATTAATGTCATCATAGACATGATGTTCTGATTTCAGACTAGCGTATTGTAATGATACAGTCCATTTTTATCTGATCTAAGACTGTGGATGTGGGACCACATCATTACAGACGTCCAGGGTCAAGTACACTACATGACCAAAAGTATGTGGACACCTGTTTGTCGAACATCTCATTCCAAAATAATGGGCATTA